CAACGTTACCCTGTCCTTCAGATCTGCAGTAAGCTTCCAAAGATTATCACCAGATATACTGGCCCCATTCGCATCAGATGAGACGGTCATTGAAAATGTAATTGTATTATTACTTCTTTCAACAACTGGATCACCACTTGAGGTGGAGACAGATGTACCTGTGATCTCAACACCTATAAATTAAAGCAAAGTTGACGCAATAACAACATCAGTGATGATAAATGATGATATAATGACAATTGTTCTTTAACATGTTGTTAATAATGATGATGATATTGATGTTGATGCTGATGATGATGATGATAGTGTTGATGATGATGATGACCAAGATGATGACGACAACAACAACGATGTTGACGATGATAGCAAGGATGGTTTTATTTAAATTGCAAAGAAATGATTACTGTAGACGATTTTGGTTCTGATGATGATAAACATAGGTGTACAATGATAATTTTGGTGATGATGATGGTAAAATTTTATGTTAATGGGCACAATAATGTGAATTAAGATTTTGACAATGGAGAAAATAATACATGGTGATAAAGGATGTAAATAATGATGATTATGAAGATAATGATAATGATAATTATGTGTTAATGATGATGGCAATGGTAATGCTTGGGGATTTGTATAGTGCATACATGGTCTCTATGCGCTGATGTTACACAAAACAGAAAACAAAAAACTTAGCTCGAACTAACATCGAGTCTGTTAATTTAAATTTATGAAACAGTTCATGTACGTTTGGCTAATAAAATACATTCATTAATCAGCTTACCACTGCAATTTGCAACGGCACAGTAGGGTGTCAGAGGATTTCCAGAAACTGTTGTCATACTAAATGTTGGGGTACTTGCAGGATCCCGCATGAACTCAACACAAAGGTAGTAAAAGGTATTAGGATCATCAAAACACTTCAGATCAGCCAAGTTCAATGATGCCGCAATACCTGTGAACTCCAATGTTGAGCCAGCTGTAGTTATCGCGGTGTTCTTCTGTTCGTCTGATAGAGAAGCGAAAGTTTCTCCATAGTGCTCTCCTGAGCCATCCTGATTTGCACTGACAAACACATTGAATTGCCACAGGTCTGTTCCGCTCAGAACTGCACTTGAGGCACTGGATTCGATCTCAAAATCAAATGTAACATTAGTTGCTGAATGCTCCTTGATCTCATTGTCACTATCTAAATTTCCAGTATCACCATCAATGACAACACCTGAGTAAGAACATAGAGCATGTTAGAATATTTATCATCATTAACATTTTTACCATTAGCATAATAATGCAATAACAATAATAATAATAATAATGAATAATAATAATAATAATAATGAATAATAATAATAATAACAATAATAATAATAAATATCATTTTTATTATTATCATTATTTCGATGTCTTCCCACTGATGGCTCATATTGAGTCGCTCTCACCGCTCAGAACACGAACTACTTAACTTGTTTAAAATACAAAATTTCACTCTATTTGCTCTAGGCACCCTGACTAGACAAGACTTGACTCATAATAATGCAATAACAATAATAATAATAATAATAATAATAATAATGAATAATAATAATAACAATAATTGAAAAACCGATGTATTGATTCTATCCTATTATCATCATGTTCAAAATCACTATCATTATCATGTTATACCATCACCACAATAATTATATCATATCATCATAACAAGAAGTTTAAGATGATAGAACAAACAGTTATAATTAACAGTTTCATTACCTACATAAATACCACATTCATCATTTGTCATGATACCGTAACCATCTTTATCAGATTATAACCACTAACATCATCAAAATCCCCAACATCGTTACCACAAACATTGCTATTATAAATGTGTGTCTTTTGATAATATTTACATACCACTTTGGATTTAAGTCCTTGAATATTAAAGTAAATCAGTTTTAAGATGTCACTAACCTTTGCATGTTACAGGAATACAAGACGGGTCAGATGGAAAGGAGATAGTAATATCTGGTGTAACATCACTACGCTTGGAAGCCAAGATACAGAGGTACTGCATGTCATCACAGATCAAGCCATATGTATTTAAAGGAGTATCAGTCAGTGAAAATACCCGAGTAGTAAGAGTGCTTACTCCATAGGCCAACTCTTCAGCTGTTAATGGAACGACAGTGGCAGAGCCACTGATTATGCTGCCATTACTCTGAGGACTGGTGAACAATGTTAGGTTCCAAATGTTTGAGGCTTCATTATCTACATAGGGGGGAACATATAGTATTAATAAAATCTAGTTAAATTGCTTCATATAAATGCTAATGTAAGATGTAACCATGATAATAATTACATTTTTTATTCACATATTTTGATCTTAATTTCAATGTAAAACATATAGTTTACGTGTCAACAGCCGCTGAATGTAAGATTCCAACGTTTGCATTTATTAATCATGAGTTTAATTTGCTTAAGCATTTTGTTCATATTGACAATATATTTGCAGTGTCATGATGTCTAAACAAATGAAAAATAACACTATATAGTTAGTATTTTATACATTAAAAGAGAAATTGAAATATACAAATGTAAAATGTAACCTCTATAGCAGATCCTTTAGTAATGTTAATCAGACATTTTAATTTTAATTTCAATGTATAAATATTATTAACTTAATAAAAATTGTGATTGCTTAAATAGATAAAGCCAACTTTTTTCTAAATAAGATTAGTAATAAAAAGATGATTGTACAGTTGGGAATGAACAGCTTTCTCGATGATCTTTAAATAGAAAGGAAGAACAGAAATATGACGATAATTATCAATGCGACAGGGATTACCAGATTTGAAAACCTGAGTAACCAAAGCCCTTTTCCAGTCCTGAGGAACAATGCTTTGTGAAAGAGAATGTTACATAGATGAGTAATAATAGGACAAATGACATGGGCTGCCGACTTCGAAAGCTTCCCAGTCATGTTGTCCAGACCTGACAACTTGGAAATATTCATCTTTAAAATCTCATTTAAAACAAAATCATTAGTAATCATTTCAAAATAGAAGGTACTATTGCTTTCTTGAAATTGTAAATAGGTAGAAGGGCCAGTAGTACTGTCTGGTATTGTTTCTACAAGTTCTGTACCTATTATCAGTAAAAAAAAAATATCAAATGCTTCGAGACTTCAAATTCATTGGAAATGTCTTGATCATTAACCATTATGGTCCTAGGAACAGCAGATGCTTTACATGAAGAAATAAGGTGTCTCAAACCTGACCACATTTTTTTAGAATTTCCTTCATTTAGTTTAATATGTTTTTTTTTGTGTAAAATTCAATGGTAGCAGTCTTACAAAGGGAAGTAACTCTATTCTTTGCATCGTTTGCTCTTCTCCATTCATCAACGTTCTGTTCTTTTGGCTACGGACCTTACATGATCATGATGCATCATATTAAAAATATCTGTACGATTTGACAGCCAATCAGGAAGCTTAGATTTGAAACATCTAGTAATTTAGCATGATAATTAGAAACATTCCTAAAGATATGTCGCAAACTTGCCCCTAGCAGAATCAAAGTTACATCTTGGATTACCAAATGAAAAGGAGTGGACTGTAAATCATGTCAAAATAAGTTAGGATTAAAATGTTTAAAACTTCTAAATGTTTTAATAAAATGTTGGTTAGAATTAGTTTTAACGTTAATAATGGTCCATTTAAGGTCATGATCACTATTGCACAAGGAGAAATATTAGCGACAAAACTTTCGTTTTTTCTTCTTTTTCAAATTTTATTGTATTTTGACGAGTTTCACTGATGATTTTGTACATATATTTTTTTAATTTAAATTTTATTGATTAGCCTATTTTACTTCAATATTTCATGCTAATTTTATGTTCTTTTTGGCATCGGAGAGCCACGAGACAGTGGTTCAGTTCACTTTTTGGCAATCTTGTCTGGCCAACTGAGTGTTGTTTTTTGCTCTTTGTTATCTTGTGTTTGTCAATTTTAATGTTTTTTGGATGAAATAAGTGAAATGAAATATGAAGTCAATGAGAGTCGAAGATGTTTGAGTTGTGCGTGTTGGTATAGTAATGAGTTGAACCAAATTAAAACTATGTTGCCATGTCAATTAAATGCAGTGTTGTTATTAGGATGAATAAAATCACAGTTAAAATCACCTGTCGAAATAAAATGTTTTGTGTAAGTGTTCAAGAGTTCGAGATAATGTTTGAGTTCATGGATGACTGCTACTTCTACTGTTGCTAATGGAGGTCTGTACAAGGTAGTACTGTAACTGTTACACTCTGGCCAGTGTTATTATTTTTGATTGCCAGATGTTCCAAGTTAACAACAGTATTTATCAGATTGAATGGTGTGCTAGAGGTGACGAACACTTCCACTCCGCCTCCCGCTCTACTGCGATCATTGTGAATAAGTTGATACCTAGGAACTAGTAATTCACTATTTCTATTTATTTTACTTTTATATATAACAGTGATAAATTGCAAAAATGGGTAAAACAATGTGTTATATAAACTATTGACAAATGTCAAGAATGATATTATTTGAAAAAACATATTTCAATCCCTTGCTGTGCATTTCACTTGTGTCCTTGAGCAAGGCACTTTATTTGCATTGCTTCTATCCACCCAGGAGTATAACTGGGTACCTAAGGAGATTCGAGTAGAAAAGTGACTGAAATATTCCACGCAGCAAACAATGGAATTTCCCCATAGGCATCGTTCCAATGACTGGGGTAATAATGTGGAAAAGCGCTCTGAGACTATAGTTGTATAGAGCGCTTTATAAAAACCTACATATTATTATTATTATTATATTGAGTTTACTTACCTTTAAAAGTTCTGGAGTTACTAGCTAAGTGGAATTCAACAACAAGATCCAACGGAAATGACATATTAGCCTCACAGACAGCTCCAGTAACTGCCAGTGTTACATTGTCAATAATAACACCTAAAAATACAAATGATAATGTAGATTAAGAAACTGAAAAAAAAAAATTAGTAGGAATATATAACTCTATAGTAATTACTTATTATACACAGAGTAGCATAGTTCAATCAGTACTGGTCGAAAATGACGGGAGCCATTGTGCGCATTGAATATGGACATCAATGGTATCTGGTTTAATTTCAATCACTGCTGGAGACCATTACTTTTGTGTACAGCTGATGGGCCGAAAGGCAGGTTACCATAGCATGAGGTGTTTTCAAAGGTACTTTTGTTGACTGTGTATGCTTAAAGGCTTGTTGTACAATTATTGTGTTGAAGATTCTCTCCATTTGTACTGAGTAACCACAAGCAAACTTGCATACCATCTGTGCCAGAACACAAATGTTGAGGTCTAATGCAGCAGCCTTACTTACAGATACAGATATCAGCAGTTATTTTGGTAATTCAAAACTGGTCTCAAGCAAATTGAGATAGTTAAGCAGCATCTATACATTATATATACCATGCTGGAATGAATGGTATCTACTAATCTAATTTACTAAAAGAAACTTGGCATATGGTTGCTCCACCAGGGGACCCATGGTGAAGTCATTTTTTGTACACATTTGCTATTATGCATAAGAGATCTGGCATCTCACTTAAAGACCTCTGCACTGCTTTTTCTCAGACAGCATGGGCATGCATCCCCCTCCCCCATGGTGGCAAATGAGTTTCATTGAGTGGGTTAAAATTCTAAAAATGACCATAGGTTTTTATTGGATTTATGGACAATATAGTGATTATCTTTTGACTTAAAAATTGTGGTTATTTATGCTGCCTCCATTTTTACTTTACTCAACCTTTGCCTTATATTTTAATTCAACTACATGTAAGGAAATTCTGTATTTTACCTGCACAAGGAATCATTGTAAAACCGGTGATAAATGCTGATGATGTCTGGAAGTCTGGAGTTGCGGTTGAAGACTTCATCACCTGCACACATAAGTATGTCAAATCATCACAATAAGCTGTTGAGAGGTCAAAATCTCCTTGCACATCCTCCAGCACAATGCTCTCACCAACCATAACATTTGCCATGCTCACATGATTGGCAGTGACTGTTGAGCCCGAGCACTCATCATTCGATCCTAAAGTCAAAGTGACATCCCAGTCAGTTCCATTTAGATCTACCTCTGGGTCACTCTGTAATGTGATGTCGGCCATGATTATGTGAGAAGACGTGAGCTCAATCACCGGAGAACCACCTTCAACAGCTACATCCAAGTTACTTATCTGTAGACCTGCATAAGCCAATAAAATGATTATTTTATCATTATTATTATTTATTATTATTATTGCTATTGTTATACTTTTAATACATTTTTACTACTTTTATTATCATTATTATCATTACTATTATGCTTAAGAATATTATTTATATTTAAGATATAAGAAATACACATGCACAAATTTTGACTATAAAATAAATATTATTTTATTTACTATTTATGGACCATTCCAACAAGTCAATCAACCATAACAACAGATTAATCAGAACAGGGCCCGGGATACAAAGTATTTGCTTGTATTAATGCTGAAATTTTGATGGACCTTAGCAACAACATCAAAAGGAGCGAGGTTTATTTGAAAGGTCCATTATATATTAATACTAATCAACTAAATGATAGCTCACCTTTGCATCTGATCACAGTGCAAACCCTACTGATGCTGCTATCAGGCTGTGGGTCTAGTGTGAAAGCCGGGTTTGAATCTGGGTTCCGGGACACTTCTGCACAGAAATATTGAAAGTCAGAGCAGGCTACACCAGAGACATCCAAATTAGACATCACGTTAAGGAGATGGGTGGTGACTTCCGTAGGAAGGTTGGTGTCTTGATAATTTCCATTTTCTGCAACCTTTAACAGAAAAGTGACCAAAGAAACTAATGAATTAAAAGTGTTATTTATTATTTTAAGTAGGATTAAATAGGGTGTTTAATGAGTTGTCATCATAATTAACTTAACTAATATCTGTAACAGATGTCTTATATGTAACTAAAGGATAGGAAATCTGCTGAATTTACCCCTGTATTCTTAGACAAACTTTAGCCGTAGTTCGAGCTAAAACATAAAAATTACGTCATTTCATATTCTTAAAATGAACTTCGACTTGAACTACGACTTGAATGATGCGAACCTCGACTAAAATGATACCTCCGCAGGCCAAATTTTTTAGTCAGTCTTGGGTCAGGCTAAATCACCGAATTGAAATATTTACGACACTAAAAACATGTTTTTCGTAACTCATGATAAAGTGAAACGAATAAAAACGATTGTATACGCAGGTTTGATATATCTTCGGTGTGTTAAACAAAAGAGACATCAAGTTTAGCTTACAAAAGAAGAAATTAACATGTTTTGCTAGCCACATGCGATAGTTCCTGATTTGCACAAACTCCCCTCGTGTTGCGGTTACGTAGCTTCACCATAACAACAACAAAGATGGCGCAGTCCTCGATTGGGCTCAACTATAATAGTTCTCCAAGGAAAGCAAATTTTCGGTGACTGTTCAAATTCTCTATCGTAATATGTTAACAACTAATATAGTTATCATTACAGAAAATTAATTAAGGAAATAGGTTTTTGAACCACAGACGGCAGCTTAATATTCATCTGCGTTACCGGATCTCTAAAATTTCGTCTGCTATTAAAGTTAGCCCTTTTCATTGGTTAGTTTGATAGTTGTTGTTTGCCAGTCGTCTTCAGTTCAACTAAAACTAGGACTTGATTTAGTTGTAGTTAAAACTTTGACTACGTTGTTTGTGAATACAAACTGAAGTTGAAGTTGGAAGTAGCACTAAAAGAAGTTCTAGTTCAAAGTTCGACTAAAGTTTGTTTTAAGAATACGGGTGTTAGAGACTGCAATAGTTTAGAGAATGTAAGGTTAAGTGCAAATAGACATATGTTGCAATGGTTCAGACATGCTCAAACTATGCATGAGAATGATTGGGTCAGAGTGGGCATTATAGAGAAGACAGCCTCGTCAAATCTCAGATGAGTTTACATGAGATTTGTTGTTAAAAATTGACATCCCAATTTAGCACAGGATAAAGTTGAATATAAATATCCTTGTTTATAACACATGCTCGTGTAGAGAAATGGTATAACTATGTATGATTATGATGATAATGATGTAGGAAGGTATTTTATTAAAATTGCATTAAAAATTAAAGATATTCTAATAAAATTCATGTCTCACCTTTTCAGCAAACCTCATTCCCTCGCCATTTGCATCAGCACTTAGATATGTAGTAATCTCCCAGAGATTACTACCAACAATGGTTGCTCCACCTTCTGCCGAAAGTAATCTGAGGGTATATGTTACTACATGCGAGGGTATGTATTCAGTAACTATTCCACCTTCATTAATAACCATAGTCACTTGGGTAAGTTCCACACCTAGTAAATAATATTTACATATTATTTTTATAGTAACAGCAATTACTGCAGCAATTAATGACTTTTATTACATGTCCAGTTAAAATTACAAAAACTTATAATATTTTTTAAGCCATTAATATTTAAGATGTGTCTCTGCTGCCCTGAAATCTCCAAAAAAAAGTATATATTTCTTTCTGAACTATATAAATTTAAAACATTTATCAATCTCATTACTACATTGTTACATTAATCAAGAAAATCTATTTTTGTTTTCTCCTCTGCCTTCATGCTGTTATTTTGCTAAACAAGAAAGTTTTTTTTTTTTTTCTGCCCTCTTCAGGTATTAAAAAAGTCTCACCTGATAAAAATTATACTACAGAAACTACTAACAACTTTATCAATTATTCACATAAAGCAAAGAATGTATTATTTACCTCTGCATGTAATCTCCTCACACACAATACTCGAGATAAACTCGCTAAACTCCAATGCAAATTGTGGAGCCATTGGATTTTTCAAGAGCTCCACGCACAGATATGTCATGGATGGACACACAAAGTTCTGGGCATCTACTGATGCGGCCAGGGATGTGATAGTAAACGATGTTTGAGAGCTGCCACCCAAGGATTCATCTGCTGAATCACCAATATTAGGGATGACTTCGCTTCCTTGACTGTCGCCTGTTCCATCACTCATATTGTTCAAAAAGACTCGTAACTGCCATATATTTTCTCCAGAAATCTGGACAGTATTTGCTTCGGCAAACACCTCAAAATTGATGTTCACCTCTTCAGAATCTGCATGTTCCACAACTTCATCATCAGGAGAATTTAATGTCAATACAAGAGAATCAACAACGACACCTAAAAAGTACGAGAAAATACAATGTGAATTACTTAATTTTTTACTTGTGACATTATTATGAGCGATTCCTGGAAACCTGGCCGTTTGATTTTTTTGCTATGGTCCCACAAACTGTTATAACAAAAGCATAAACAAACATAAACACGTTTTTGTGGGACATGCACATGTTTGGCCTTGCTCTGATTGGTCAGTTTTTAAATTTTACAAACTGGAATGGTTCAGTTTAAAAGAGTAGTATTCAACTGGTTATGTGCTTTTATCTGAAGAGTGGCATGTTGTGTCATGAAACTATTTAGTAATAACAAAATGTCTAATCAAATTGAAACTTATTATTGAATCTTGTATTTTATTTTTACTATTTTGATCTAGAATACAATTGAGCACTCTGAGGATAATCGTGTTTATGTATGTTTTCATCACTATAAGCACCAAAAGACTTATTTAAATAAATTAAATATGTTTTATCAATATTCAACAAATATATAGCAAGACGATGGGTCTCATTTTTTTGATCGCCTAGGCCTAGCTAGTCGAGTAGTAGTAGTAGTAGGCCTAGTATGCCTCTAATATGACAGGCTAGGAAGTAAGTACTTTTTTAGGCCTCATATGAGGTACATAAAACAAATATTGACTGCTCTATATTCAGGCAACAGCAAAATCTATTGCCCCTTGATCATGTGGAAACCGTAGCCTATCTTCCCTAGTGAGCTGTCAATATTTGTATAATATAAATATACTAACGCTGCACTGTGCAGACACATGTCCCATATGTCCCTTAAAGCCTAGTTAAAACTTCCAATATTTTAAATTATTTAGAATTGGACAAAAAAGGAAAATAAAATAATTTTCTTTTTAAACTTACCTCGGCAGTCAATTTCTACACAATCTGATAGAGCAGTCACTGGATTACTATCAAGAGTAAAGCTTGTGGATGAACTATCAGCTTTCGACAAATTCAAGCAGATGTATGGAATCTATGAAGTCAAAAAAAAAAAAAGAGAATATTATTAAAATATAATACCATGATGTCATTATTTTACAATAAATTTACATTAGTAAAGAAATAATTTGTTTTTTTCAATGACTGGGAAAATTCAGTTCATAAATTTCAGATCGGCATTCGGTAACTGCCGACCATATTGCCGAGCCAGAATTGCCACAGGTAATGTAGGTATTATACATTATTATTAAAATAAATCTTGTACAACCATTCTCTCACCAACAATACATTGATTTAATAGAGATAATTAACAAAATCGCGATCTGCAGATGACCATGGAAGGTCAAGCGTTCGGAAAAATTGTAGTTTATACTATAGGCCTAGGTAGTACAAAATTGATGAGACTGCCGAGCTTGGAGAATTTAAGGTCGGCAAATAATTTTTTCGCAATTTCATCGGCTGAAAAATAGTACCCTTAAACCCTGTCAAAACATGTGACATGACTATACATGCATATGACATCACCTCATGAACATATATAGGCACATTATGACTATATATGGGCATACAACAGTTTTTTTTTTAGAGAAAATTTGAAAGCCTGGATAGACAGTAAATACTTCATACCCTAACTGCCCATTGTCATATATTTAATGCTTTCCCACGATGTTCAACAAACTACCTTATAATATGGCAAAATATACAGGCATATAATAATTTGTAATCTAGTTGATTTGAGGAAGCTATGTCGCATGTTCGACATATGCTTATTCATTTTATGTTACTGTATTTTGTCTGTATTTGACTGTATCATGATTGTTTTGATGATGTCAATAAAAGTTGGTATTATTGGTATAAGTTAATATTCGCTTGTTCTTTTTCAATTAAACACAGCTTGCAGAATGTTGACACATAAGGTATGTAATTGTGTCTCAATGGAATGTGATTTCTAACTCATGTATATACTTTCTGTACTTTTGATTCACTTGTATATATTCATCTACTTTTTAATGTTGGCTTTTAGGGATTGGAGAATCACACTAGATAGTTGATTTAGTTCAACTTCTAACCCTTGATATTCTGTATCTTTCTTTGTTGTGTTCCAGACAAAATAAATGAAATGAAACAGCCACTTTGGATCTCTATTTTTCAACTGAGATCTTAAAACTTCACACTAAATGCAAAGTCCTTTAAAATATGAATAACACAAGGAAAGGCACTAGAAAGAAGGACATAAAAAAGGTTTCTACATATAAATAAAACAAAAGAGCAGAAAGGAATTGTAAAAAAATGAGTATATTGTAGTAACTCTAATGTACCACATTTGACAACCTTCAATTATGGTATCTAATATTAAAATGTATGCATGTATATATATAAAACTGCTTAGATCTATCCATAGTGGGACACTAAAACAATGAAGAGGGTTAAAAACAGTACCTTAAGGCGAAAGTAGTGTCGCTAAGGGGAAACTTAAACGATGTTAAGGCAAAATTATAGACAAAAGAGTTTCCCCTTAAGAGCCAAACTAGATGTGTATAAGAGACAGGGTATATAATTATATGTTATTCTTAAATAGTGTAAAGGTTTATATTTTTTGCAGGTTACAATTAATACTGTGGGTATTCGGTTATGTTTAAGCTGACTGGAACACATAGTATAAAATCAATAAACAAAATTCACAGCATGATTCTACTTACAGAGGGGCAAATTATATCTGTTAGGTCAAAGGTTACAGAGATACCATTCAACATAAAAGTATTCCCTGCTGGGTGGAAGTCGACATCGGTCCAACCGGCATCTGTAGTACCAGGAAGTTCTTTTTCAAATAAAATTGCTCCTTGGCCATCTGTTGCATTATTCGTAAATACAGTTAATGACCAAAGATCCGACCCATTGACAGCTGCACCTGCATTACTTGTTGTCACAGCAAGAGACAACGTAACATCTACATTGCCTTCTCTCTCCAGGATTGGCTCACCGGTAGTTACCGACAACACTGTGTCGGTTACAATAACACCTATAGAATTTTAAAATTAAGGTAAAATGTAGTTACAAGCTATGTATGTCCAATTAATATAGTAATATATGTAATTAATCAAAATTTATGAGTTTCCTGCACACCATGAAAGGTCAATTGAAATCATGGTGACCGCTATTAACAGGGAAAATATAAACAGTAGTGTCATCTATAAATTTGGTAGTTGGTTGTTATGCCTCACCATGGCTTTTAAATTTTAGTTTATGTCCATACATGCCTTACTGACCAATGTAATAACTGTCATTCTCACCTTGATTCTATTCTTAATCTTGTGTAACAAATAAATTACTGAAATGACCACTTTATTGTGTTTTTTTATTCATTTATATTTTATTGTATTTAGTTCCAATGTTTGAATGTATGCATAATGTTGATGATGTTAATTTCTGACCATTGTAATTAAATTTGTAAATATTATTCTCATTCAATTTTCATGTAATTATTTATTCATGTACAGTTGATATTTATATACATATGTTTGTTATCTTTTATGTACAAATCATTACAATTCAGCTTCTCGCTGCGAATGAGATTTGAAATAAACTTGAACTATCCTTTATTATATACCTCATACATAGATTCTAGGCATCTGATTAGTTAAGAAGCGGGCAATAGAAAGTACTATTCCCCTTAAAAAGTACTATTCTCCTGAAAAATAGTACTTTTTTTAAATGTCGCGTGATGCAAACTCTAGGCCCCACCATCGCGCTGACGGCAGAGGGACTGTGACCTCTGTGACAGAAGGGCCAATGCCCTTCACTGCACCACGGATCAGCGAGTTGATAAAGAATAATTATGAAGGCTGTCGGTTCGAGCTTTTGGATGAAGAACTAACCTAGGCCTATACTTCTTGAAGAAGCCGATACCAAAAGCATCAAAAGACAAATTAAATATGTCTTGTCAATAGTCGACAAATATTGCAAGACAATGGGTTGAAATTGAGGAGATGAGCAAAGAAGAGCTAGAAACACTCTTTGATTGCCTAGGCCCTAGTGGGCCTCTATGCTAGCCTAGGAAGTAAATACTTCTTGAGGCCTCGTAAAATCTATATATGAGGTATATAAAACCAATCTGCTCTAGATTCGTTTCGGCCCTCGGGAAGATAGGCTACGGTCCATCACATCACCGAGGGGCAATAGATTTCACCATTCCCCTCATGAGCAGTCAATATTTGTATACTATACGCCTTGCAAAAAGGTTCTTACAATTTATATTGGGCTACTGCATCTAAAACTGGGCACTCTGCTCACTGCCTGTGCCTGTATTAACACTTTAGCATCAGCCCTTCTCTTCAGGACTTACGAAACTGTAAGAACCACTAAGTTTCTCCTACATGATATGTTTGTTGAACGGGACACAGATATAAAATCTTACCATTACAGTCAAGTGGTGTACAAGCTACAGTTGCTCCACTAATGGTGAAGTCAATGGAAGGGGCATCTATTGTGTCCGTATTCTCCAACACTTCAACACAAAGATATTTGGCAGCTGTACACACAACATCATTAAGGTTAATAACAACTCTTGCACTTGAAAACTGCAGATCATTGTCGTCGTCAAATGTGTTGCTTACAGGTGTCGGCCTGGAATCTGACGTTGCTTCTCTGGTTCCATCTCCAGATGCGCTGGCACTAACGAATGCGACGACTTCCCAAAGATTTGTTCCACTCACATCAGCCCCTTGGTCATCATGAACAAAATTAGCTGTGACAATTACATTCTGGTTGATTCCTCCTTCAATAACTGGAGTTCCACTATCAATGGTTAAACTTGATGAGGCCACAACCACACCTAAAACAACATTAAGCCAAAAAAAAAACTGTACTGCCCAAGTCTGATCAACTCAAAATCTATTAAATCTATGGTCACATTTATTTGTGTAAAATGTATTTTCTGTTAACCAGGTAGGAGCACAAACAGCTTAATATTTTTTTAAAACAAAGCTACTTTTCGAGCCTTAATAAACAATTTGATACTTAAATATATATTCTTAATATCAAAATCATATTAAAATACAAATTTGGACATTGACCTACTTGTGATGAAAAACATAGGAAACAACAATACTATAAAACAATACAATAATTAAAAACCCATTATAAAATTAAATCTATATGCAAATTTAGCTTTGAAATGTTAACATGTTTATGTAATATAGTTGAACACCTTAAGATTTCCATCTCATGACTGCCTGTAATGGGTATGTGTAACTGTGATGCCAGGTCAGGGGAACTAATACAATTTAATCTTGAACCAAAATTAAAATAATTTTCAATAATCATTTTTCTCACACAAAGTTCTAAGAAACAGTTTCCCTCAAATTAAATAAAATGCATGACAAACCTGTGCAGGTGACCTGAGTACATGCAATATTTTCATTTTCAGATTCATCAAATGTAAATGTTGCAGTACTTGATTTGAGAATTTCTATACATATATATTGTAAATTGTCGCATGATCCATTAAGGTTGACAGTCGCCAAAACACCAGACAATGTCATTGAGGATATCGACATAAATTCTGCAGAAGAAAAAAAGAATGAAGCAATCATCACTTGACAACAAAGACTGAAATCACATAAGTTATTTCAGACCTCACAGTGGTACCTCTAAATTTATACACTGACATACAGTGATGACAATAAGAACACTAACGAAATAATAATAATAATAATAGCAACAAACCTATTAATATTATTTATTTTTGCTTATTATATTATAGCACTTTCCTTAGCATAACCTTTAAGTCCTTTATATTAATGCCTTTTTAATTGATAACAGTAGGCCTCATTTTGCATTAATATTGCATTGTTGTCCAGCGCCTCGATGTTGGTTCAACAGGAGGCACTATACAAATCGCAAAATTATTATTATTATTATTATTATTATTATTATTATTATTACTATTATTATTATTATTATTATTAATATTATTATTATTACTATTATTATTATTATTATTATTATTATTATTATTATCATTATTATTGCCTTGGTCATGGGAAACAGTAGGCCTATCAATCTTGCCTTCCTAATCCCAAGGTCCTGGGGTCAATTCTTGCCATGGTAACTTGAGTTTTTCTTATGACCAAAAATAAACTTCGTCCTAGGCCTGAGTCTATGTATAGCATCTTATGTGTGTATGTTTGTTATGTGAAGGGACTGCCACTTTCCAATTTACAGAGTGGTTACATTAGCTTCCTGGTATATTCTTGACCTTTGTGCTTACGGCTGAATATGAGCAAGCTCAACTTATTCTCAGTCATCCAGGAAGGAATTAGCCTGAACCAAACTAACCACTCAAAATAGAATGATAGCATCCTACCAGCTACCAAATGAGTATTCTTTGTTTGGAGGCAAATGGCAATAAAAGGCTTTCAAATAACTGGAATAGTACTCAAACCCTATCATACATACAAGCATTAAATGGGCCCCCAAAAGAAGCATGCTACACC